ACCTATGTAATGAAAAACACTAGTTGGACCTCATACTCCTTCCATCATTCTTCGACCAGTGTTTGTTAAGCAATGCTGTGACTTAAGGTCCTGTGTCCACAGACAGCTTCTTTTAGAGTTGGCAGTGCTCCTTTTCTATACAAAACCAATGTAGTGCTGCGTTTTCAGCACCCGGCGCCCTGAGTGTAAAAACGCCCCCCCTCGGCGTCAGCTAATTTGTGTTGATGCACTCACAGCACTCTCCAGTTGAAAACAGTTCAACTTGGAGCAGCGCCGCGCTCGTCAATGTCACTTCTCCTTCACTGACCAATCAGAATCAAGACGGGGCGGGACATACAATATCAGGCTTTATCAACAACAATGGCAGGTAGAGACGACTCGTCTTTTTGAGGAAACAGTTTCCAGGTAGAGCTGCTGCTGGTGCCATGACACGACTCATATACATTGTTTTCATGCTTTCTTGGTGATATTTCCTTATGTTACAGCAAATATAAAGCACACAGAGTTATCTGGAACATGCCTAACGGACATTACAGAGGGAGCAGATGTTAACTTTTGTAACCTAGCAACAATGACCACTGCTGAGAAGCGCTCTGAAACAGAGGTCATGAGCGCTTCCAGCAAAAAAAGGGTTGTTTGTGGACACAAGCCCTAAATTGTGTTTTTAAGAACTTAACACTTAATTAAAGGATAAACCAGATATCTCAATCTTTTCAGTCAATTCTGAGTAATACTGTTATTAAGGACACATTCATTGAATCACTTCTTTAATGTTTGTAAAGCTCACACATGCACAGTCTTTCGCCCATTAAATTCTTATTTCAATGTAGTCCTCGTCAGGACAGGCAACTTTGACGAGCCAAAACCACTTCTTTGTCTGTCTTTATTTTTTTCTTCTTCTTGCAGACTAGAGTCAGCAGTACAATGGAAAAAGGCATTTTACTGGACAAACATTTATTCATAGCTCGTACTGCTCACTGGCTAAACTGTTGTTTCATCAGGGTTTTGTTCATTTTTCTGCTGATGGCTGTTCTAATAGGGGGATAAGGGAGTTGGGTGGTGTTGGTGGGGGTGGTTACGTTGAGTCTTTATTTACCCGAGCAGCAGAAATCGATGCCTCTCTGCCGAAGGAGAAGTGTGTGGATCAATGGAAGGTTTCAAAAAGCCTCTGTGAAAAATCAATGTCCCTTACATGCTATTGATGGCTGCTTGGCTGTGGAAGAAAGAGAACCACAAAGAACACCTGTTTATTCTGAAAAAATGACTCCCCCCCCCCAGTCTTTCTGGATCACTTCATCCCTTTGTTTTCTCAAGAACAGTCTTGTATTTACAATTTATAGTTAGTCTTCTAACACTTTGCACAACTTACATCTATCTGTAGTTAGCAGGAGTGGGTAGAATGAATTCTGTTAAATATACTTAATTGTACTTTTTTTTTTGATGAGTAGTCTTTAGAGATTATTTTTACTACTAATCTTTTATACTGATAACATTCTGTTCTCAGCTTTTATTTATTTACTCTTTTGTGCATTCATTGTATGTTCAGAGGCTGCTGGTCTGCAGGCAGTCTTCTTTCCTATAGCACAGCTCGGCTTCTTTAAAGCAGTTTGTCTAAATGTATGGCAGAATAATGGATATAGGTGCAGTGAATGATTCAGAAGAGAGCCAGGAGATTTCAACTTGATGATGCCCTGTATGATTACTGTTTTATCGAAAACTTAACAAGACAAAGAATCCAGACACTCACATTCTTCTTCTTCCAGTGTTGGAAATGTTTTAAGAATAAGCAGCTGATATTAGCAAAACAACGCAGACTGCAGCGAGCTCCAGGTCCAAACATCGTCCTGAAGTCGATACTCACAGAACTTACAAAGAGCAGAAAGTCGTCTGCTGTGTTTATGCTAATAAGTTGAACACTGTGCACATTATCATGAACCATCATAAATCATACTTCAAGACTATATATTGTTTTGCATTTAATGTAAGTGTGAGCCTTTACAACTGCATTAAACAGTTCACCAGAATACACCGCACATGTGTAAATCTGGTATATTATCAAATCAGGAGAAAATATTTGATCATGTCTTTACCTACATCTGCTGACGTGTTTATAGTAAAAGGAAAAAATAGTGTTGTATTTTTATTTATCTTATTCAATTAGTTTGAATCAATCAGATATTATATGGTGTTGTTTTCCTGTTTACTTTACTTGTTTTTATGAAGAAACTGTGTTTTTACTCGAGTGCAGTTTTTTGGCCACAGTTCCAGTAGTAAGAAAGTAGTGATGTCCATCACCAGAAATGACAAAAATAAGAAGGGAAACTGGTGTTGCTTATGTTGGGCTATATTCAGTACAACTCTGTGACACTACAGGCTGATAGCGTCGTATATTAAGCCACAGAGTTACAAGACGTGAACTCCACCTTGATGTACAGTGGAAGAGTCTGAAGTGTCGGAGCAATTATTTCAACGGTGCTATTAATAAGAAGCAGTCAATAACATCTCTGAGCTCTGACACTGTCTTGGCTTCAGAGAGCAAAAGGGAGTACAGTCCTGCCAAGAATTTACCTAAGCAGTCAACATTTCCCGGGAGCCATGTCAGGCTGCAGGCTCAGAGGCCAGTCACTAGGGCCTCTGTCCTGACACCTGCCTGATCGTGTGGCAGCCTGATCAAAGTGACAGTGCTGCAGACCTGTGGAGATGCAGGTGAGGGCTGCTGTCACCCAGCCTGTCCAACTGATGGCAACTTGGTCAGCGTGGGGAGAAAAGCGACGGGATGGTGGGGAAGGCCGCTGCCTGCATGTCACTCAGGGCTGCGCAGGATGACAGAACAGCCCATTAGGAAAGGGACTGACTTCACAGGCCATTAAGGGAAGCATCACACAGCCACACCACACAGAGCACTGAGTAATGGCACAGTTGGAGGGAGACGGGAGAGGAGATGAGAGAAATAAATACTGCAAGCTCTGTTTTGCAACCTGTTCAATGGAAGTCTTGATTGTAATTAGTTGTGATTAACATATCAAATGTCAAAGCAGGAAAAACACAATGTTCTGACTTCTTTTCCACCATAAAGTCTTGGAGTTTTTGTTTCATTCGAGTGAGAGTAGAAAAACAAGTTTACACACATGCACAGACTCCTGAATTCTCAACAGAGTACACAAGTGGTTACACAAGTGGACTAAACATATTAACAATAAGTGTTGCAAAATGATCCCCATGCCATCTAGCCTCCAGAGCTGTTGCCTTGTTAAAATCTCTAGTTCTCAGTATGGCCCGGTCTGCCCTGCAGTCATCATTAAAGAGAAAGACGGGAGCCGGAGAGCTCAACAGAGGCATCAACACGCATCACTTCTCCCCTGCTCTGAAAGCTCAGCTCTCAGCAATCCACCAGCCCCTGACGGACTTATTTACTGCACAAAGTGGATTGTGTTGGGCTACACACCACACTACCAAATGTTCCTTTGATATCCCCTCTCTTTCTCACCGCCCCGTCACCTCTGTCTCTCTATCTGGTTCGGAACGGCTCATGGATTCAGCAGAACTGTCTGGCCAGTTTGTGGTTGGTGTAGCAGTACTGAAGGGCTCAGCGGACTCAGATAGGAAAGCCACACAAATGTCAGACTGATGGGACACACTCCAACTGTAGAAGCACATCAGCTCCAAAACAAAGACTTACAACAAACGCTCTTTGACTTGATGTTTTTGTTTCGCTACAAATGAAAAAAAGTTTCCTTAAAGCAGCACCCCGGGATTTTCCCTGGAGATTGGATGAATCCTTGTAAAAAGAAAACAGAAAAAAAGAGAAGAGAACAGTAACAGAAAAAGGGGGAAAATGCTTCTTTGCACAATTTAAAACCCCAAAGAGATCAAATGTGAGAGTTTTGTAAACAGAAAGGCAAGAAAAAGATGGTTAGATATTCCAGATAACGAGACAAGGAAAGTAGGAGCTGGGAGAGTAGGAGCTGGGAGTGTAGCAGCGGTCTTTTAGAATAATGTTTTTTTGATGAATTACAGCACACACGACAAGCTTGGAGTCCAGAGTTTGCTTTGAAAGAGTCAAAGTGAGCAGTCTGCTGTGACAGAATCTCTGAATTTCAAAATGCTGCAGCTTGAGCATTTGCACAACACCGCATTTACACAAAACTTTATTTATTCATGTGTTTTTTTCTCTCTCCGACAGGCATGCACAGGCCCGACCTCAAACCCTGCCATGCTGTGTTTATATTTTGTACTTATTAAAACTAGCAGTTTTGCAGAAATCAAATTTGATGGGAGTCAGCTGTTATTGCCACATTCCAATCTTGAATGCTTAATAAGAGGAGGTTTTCTGAATTATAATTTGGCACTTACAACTGAGGCGTAACTGCTAAGCCATTTAGTAAGTTATTTTTTAAGAGTATTATCTCAGATATATTAAGATTTAACCATCAGGTCCTTACTGGGGCACGGGGGATGAACCTCCGTTCTCCTTACTTTGGCTTTCTTTAGCAGCTTTTCATACTTTATCCTCATATCCCACCGGAGGGCCAGAGTAACAGACTCAGTAAAGATTGTGTGACAAATTGTATTGTTATAAAGGAGCTATAGAAATAGTATTGAACTTCAGGCAACCTTTCTGAAGTAGACTGATAAAGGAAAGAAAGGATGCATGAAGGAGCTGAAATAATCATTCGTTTCACTGAGAGCCCAATGGACCTCACACTGTGGGAGAGTTCAGCTGCTTAGTTGTTTTGGAGCGTGCTCTTTGTCCGAAGGGAACACTTCTCAGGGCTGTTTAAATACCTAAAGATTTTGTGGCTGTAATTACATCAGGGAAACACAACATAATCATCTTTGAGGATGTGGAGAACAAACCAAATATGCTAATGCTTTTCTTTCCTCTATCCGCGTCCATCACAAACCCACAATCAGCATTAGCTGTGAAGTGCACTCAAGAAATCCCTGCTGCTAGTTAAAAAAAAAAGTCAGAAATTGAGGACCATAAATGTGTCACTTACGCTGACGAGCATCTGAGGGAATGGTCCTCGTGAGTTTTCTGCCACGTTGATTGGTGGGATCACCCAGTCTCTCTTCTGTCTCCGTAGACCTTTGGAGTCATTCACAGGGGACCCTGAGAACATGATGACAGGAGGGGGTTCTTGGAACGCGTCCTTCCTCTCTTTTCTCTCGGCGATTTTGCCCTCTTCGTTTGTGACCTTTAAGACAACACAAGGATTTATTTAGCAGGCTGTTGAAGATAACAAACACTGAAGTCTTTTTCTATTCAAAACTGAAGTTCTAAGCACAACAGTGATTACATTTTAGTGTTATCTATCAGGTCAGACTATGTCAAAAGTTCAAGAATATCAAGGAGCGTTTCAAGAAATATGGGGGTTGTGTTGGAGAACTAAGGCTTTTTGACAGGTAGCTGTGATGGCTTATCTGTTCCTTATTGCATAGATTTTATCTTCAAATAGAGATAAGTGTTGGCAAGTTTGGATTACTGAAAGTATCAACATTGGATGATCAAACTTTCTACGTTTGTTTTACTTTATTGGTATAGTTGGAGAAAAGGTGCAAACTTCAGAAACCAATGTAGAAAAACATCAACCATCACAAGGTCAGGTGGCAGAAAATATTCAGGTAGCAAAGTCACATCACTATCTAAGAGTAACTTTGGTGAAGAGAGCCTGTTAGGCAATTTATATCAAGAGCACTTTCCTCTTTCCTTGTTGTGCTGCATGGGCAAGACACACGCAAACACGCACACGCACAAAAATCGATGTATCAATTGTTTCTGATACTAAAATTGTTTCTGTCATCACTATAGCTGAAGAGAATGTATGGTGTTGCTATGGAAACAAAGTGCTATGGATTGACACTCGCACACTTATTCACTCTTTTATTTGATCACTTATCCACAGATTCAATAACCTGCTTCCTAACACCCTGGTTCACTACGTTGTTTTTTCTTCAGCTACTTTGGGATGATCAATTACACACATGCTTGCTTTACCACTCTTAAATGACTCTGTGGACTACTTCACAATATCGACACCGTATGTTATCCAAGCAGCATGAAGCAGGAAAATACAACAGGTGAACAAATTGAAGGGTTTTTTCTAAGTTATGTCTCCTTCAGAAAAAAAACACACTTGAATCAGCAAAGCATGAAGTTTTGCCTCGAGTCTGGTTTGACCTTGGAAATTTCAAAACAATAATGTGTTGTTTTTTTGTTGTTGGGTGATTTCGTTCCATCCCTCTGATTTGGTTGTCTTTATCCAAAGACTCCCAAAGAAGCTCAAAAAATAACTCATAAATCCCCGCAAAATCAGTAAAAAAATATTCAGGCAAAAGTCAAATTAAAATTAAAGATTAAAATTACTGTATTGTATGTGCGAATGGGGGTTTATCATAAAGTTATTAATTTAGACAATAAGAAAACATAAAAAATGATCTACATTGAAGGAAAAGGAAAGTATAATTACAAGCTCTGAATGAAAGATTCCTGTCTTTTCTCTACTTTGCCTGCTTACTTTCATGTGGTAGACTAGTAATTACTAAACGCCAATTTGAAGTTTGTATATAGAAAGGATAGCTTAAGATGGGAGGAGAGAATGAGGGGGATGACATATTGCCTCGAGAGTGTTGGGATACAACACTTCATCAACTTTCCTACTCACACAGGCCACATTCTTGATCTCATCGGCTGCTTTGTTGTGACCCCTCTTCCCTGTGTTGTGTCCAAAGCATCCTGGATGATCTTGCTCCCTTAAAGACTCGGACTGTTTCCTTTTCCCACTCGGCCCCCTGGTTCCACCCTGAATAACGACTCCTGAAAGCCAAAGGTCGTTGCCCGGAACACTTACTTTCAAAGATTGGCCTCACTGTTCATAAAAATATGCAATATGCATCACACTCGGTTTTACAAAGATGCTCTCTCCACTACCAAATCTGCATATTTTGCTAACCTCATCAGGTCGGGTGAAGGGAACACAAAGACTCTGCGTTCCACTGTAAACACCATCTTGCGACCACCTGATATTCTAGCACCTCACTCCGCTGCCCACTGTAACACCCTCATGACCTTTTTTTCAATGCGAAAATCGAAAATATTCATCAGCAATTGACCTCCGTAAAACATGCAGCAGCCAGTGCACAATACCCCAGCCCCATATCATCACTTCTTCTATCCTCTGTTCAGTTTTCAACTCCCAACTGTTGCTGATATTTCTGGTATCATTCAAAAATCGAAAATCTCCTACCTGTCAACTAGATCCCCTATACCTACCCACCTGGTCAAAGCCTGTCTACCCTCTCTGTCCTCTTTAATAACTGACATCCTCCAGTCCTCTCTCACTTCTAGTCTTGTTCCGTCATCCTTCAAAACAGCTGCAATAACTCCAAAAACAATAACTCATCTACCTATTACCTCTCCAAGCCCGACTCCGCCCTCCCACCTTCATCCCTCTCCGGTAGTCTCCTTTAAGTTAAATCCTGGTTCTCTCTCTAAAACTCAATAGGAACAAAACAGAAGTTCTCCTTGTTTGATCCAAATCCACTCCTTCCCCACCCACCCTCCCTGAGTAAAGAGCCTTGGTGTCATCTTCGCTGTAAAGAGATGTACAAAGTACAAGCAGAGATCTGAAGTCTCAGTGAATGCTTTGCATCCGAGTGTATATGTGTATACGTGCATACATGTGACAGAGACCATAAACCACAGACTTTGTCATTTACAACGCGTATAAAAAGTCTATTAACGCAGAGCATGTCTGAGGTCGGATTTACAGCCACTCTCAGCAGACAGTGACAGCTGAGTCACAGACACAAGCTTCAATCATACAATATTCTCCCATCATGCACTCCCCTCGCACGCTCCCTGCAGGCAGAGAGAAATGACCACCACAAACCTGTCTTTTTTTTGAAAGATGCTTAAATAAGGAGCTTGAAAGACGCCCATTTTCCATCTCCTCCTGAACATTAACTCACACAGGGGTCAGAGGAGCTACATCAACAGCTGAAGCTATCAGGCATATCACCTGTTTGAATTAATGTGAAAATGCTGCAAAACACATGGAGGAGAACTAAAGAGATGCTTCTGCTTTACAGATGCTACTTTATTACAGATGCTTCTCGAGTGGTTAGAAATGAATAAAGTAATTGAAAACGAGCTAAGATAGTCTCAATAATCTAGCTTGGGGGCTACTTAAAGCAGCAGAGGGAAGATCATAACATATGTTGCTTCTTAGGTGCAAGTACATTATAGATATCGATGCCTTTATATCAAGGTTACATAGGGTCCAACGTTTCAAGGCTTAAATACAGCATGCTTGGTGTCCTAGAGGCTACATAAATGTGCTGTGTTGAAGTGATCTTAAAGGTCCCATATTATGCTTTTTCTGGTTTTATATGCTCTTCAGTGTGTTTTCCAAGTGTCCTGTGCATGTTTAGGCACATCTATGTGCAAAAATTCAAAGTCCGCGGAAACGCGGCTTCTCCTACCTCCTCCTGTTAGCTGTAGCATTAGCCGCATGTAACGCTCGGTTCTAGCCCCTCTCGATAAAAATGTGTCAGTCCGACGTCATTGTCAGTGTGAGATCACTGATCTAAGCCCATTGGCTCGTTGTGGCAAGCCCTGCAGCTCATGTTGCAATTTCGGAGACACGTGCTGAGCAACTGACCAATAACTACAGAGCGGATCGGCAGACCAATCACAGCGGACTTGGCCCACGTGGGGTCTAACAGTGTGGGCACAACAGAGTGTAGCTGGCGGACTCAGAGCGTAGAGGGAGCAAGGAAGAGCAGTACATGAAAACAGAGACTTTTTTTCGGACTTTAGCTATTGTGAACGTACAAAAGTAGGTACATAGATTAAATATACGAACCCCAAAAAGAGCAGAATATGGGCTCTTTAAGGTTTTAATAAACAGACAATCTGAAGGTTGTTCTACAGTGTTTACCAACATGTTCTGGGGTTACAAGCCGGTAAAAACATGTCAAGACTCAGTCACAAACATCATTGCGGCAGCTATGGATCAGTTGCACTTGCTGTCTCAATCACTTCCCCTTCAGCTACCCCCTCCCTCCCTTGCCCTTCTCTTGCAGTATTATTGTTTTTCTCTCTGTCTCTCCTCCCAGTCAGTGGGTCTGACAGCTTGTCTCAATAACAGTGATTCCTCGAGCACTGGGCTGTGTTAGGCTGATGGTGAAGCAGCAGGTAAAACAGCAGCACAGGGTTTCAGCTACCAAACACTCCTCATCACCAGGCCACAACAATCCATGTCTTTGTTGTGAATGCCCCAAGGACACGGGGGGAGAGAATTAACCTTTATTTACATAGAGTGGTCTGATGATTACAGTTCTCTCTCTTGGGACAATAACAACAAAAGCAAAAGTCAAGCAGTTTAACATTAAATTGTACGAAAAAGCATAATAAGCTTGATGTTTAAAATCAGACATCCCACACTGGATAATTTATGAACAAAAGGAAATTAGCCAAAGCAACCTTTTCACATTAAATGCTTTGTTAAGTAATTTCAGGATTAGGGAAAGTCAATGTCAGATGTTTAATCTGCTCAGGAAACAATACAGGTTCAATTCTTGCTGTATTTAGTCCATATTTTTGCTGCTTTTATTCATCATTCATCTCTTTTAATATTGAGTTTGGAACCAGCAGGAAAAAAAAGTGCACTCAAACATAGAATAGATCCAAAGTCATGGGTGAGTGTGTAAATAAATTACATGCAGTCAATTCATGGATGGCAATACAGAAAGAGGGAAAACAAAATAACCCAACAAAACATGTATGTAATCTAATATTCTTATTTTCATCTTTACCAGACAGATCATAGCAAACATATCTACAATGCATTCATTTATTTTACCCACGAATACTGACTGTTATTGCTAATGTTTGTTTGATGAGCAACAGTTGTGGCTCAATTTCTTGTCGGCCAAGGTATCATGTAGACAATGTATGCAGTAATGTTTTATCAATTAGTGCCATTATTTTTTATTCATTCATTCATTTTAATAAGTTTGTCTTCGAAGGGAAAAAAAAAAATCTTTTGGCAGTTTTTATCAAATGTTGGATAAAGGCAGCTCTTAGACTTGATACTAAAGTAGCTCTGATATCACTGTTCATCCTTATATGACTGTGTTGCACAAAGAGGATGGAAGGGGGCGAGAGACAGGGTTCGGGGGGGAAAAGGAAAAC